CGAAAGCGAGGAAGGCAACTACTAGTGATCTGATCCTTGTTCGATCAGTAACGAAAAATAAGGTATTTTGAGGCTGAGCATTTCAAGCGAAATGTGAGTCATTTGTTTTGTTTATTTTGTTTAAATTATGTTTGCAAAATAAGGTAAACACAAAACAAGAACCAATATTAACTAGCAGGGCTGTCTTTAAAGACATTAAACAATTATTTTAGAAAGTCTGGTATGTTATTAGAGAACAATTTCAGATCAAAATAAAGAAATTACTAAATACATGCTAACTACATTATGATTTAATTACATAGTGAATAAATTGCGTTGTTAAAAGAAAGGGTGTCGACATTTCTTTTAAAAGTTGATATTTTTTCTTATAATTCTGTATTCATGTAATCTTTCCAAATGCAAACAAATTGGCTTTGAATTGTCTGAAGATTTGCTTAACTTTGACCAATCAAAGCCTAGAAGTATGAACATGGGCCTATCAGAATCAAATTTAGTTTCAAATTTCATTCGTTCAAAATGAAAACAACTAACATGCTTATAAAAAGGTAATACAAAGTTTTGGTATTGGGTCATGAATTTGGTTCAAATTAACATATTGAAGGCATATGCGATCCTAAAATTTTCGGTGATCGTTGTCGCGGTTAAAATCGAGTCTAAAATTATGAAATTGAAAGGGATCAAGGTCTGTATGCGCCTCGCACATTGTTCTCGTGACGAAAGCCATCTGTTGAACTCCACTGCCTGTCCAAAAGAGTCTAAAATTATGAAATTGTAATTGATAATCTCTTTGTTGAATAGCTCCCTCTCAAGGTCAAATGGTTCAAATTAACATATTGAAGGCATATGCGATCCTAAAATTTTCGGTGATCGTTGTCGCGGTTAAAATCGAGTCTAAAATTTTGAAATTGTAATTGATAATCTCTTTGTTGAATAGCTCCCTCTCAAGGTCAAATTTACCGGGAGCATCGGTAAATTTTTATATTCATTTTTTTTTTCGAAAGCAGAAGTGTTTTAGGGGCTAAATTGTCTTGTGCTTATAATACATCCACAGGGGCATCCAAATATATCAAAATTGTAAAGAATCACTATTCATCCAATTTTCCAATTTTTAAAAAACTTTGTTTATGTGTTTGTGTTTTTTTACCTTTCTTGTCATTGTCTTTCAACAGAAACGAAAGGATTTCATGTGAGTGAATTCTTCGCATCTAAGGGAGATATTCAATGCATCAAATTCTGACAGTCCTTTGAACGTAGTATACATTATCCTAAATTGACAACCGGCTTGTATAGACGCCCATATTCTCATCTCGGCTACCGGATTTCAATTTTGAAATAATTATCATAAATCGTCTTCCTTAACCATTTGAATGCTTCAGTAGACTGATTGGACAGGCAGTGGAGTTCAACAGATGGCTTTCGTCACGAGAACAATGTGCGAGGCGCATACAGACCTTGATCCCTTTCTAATAATTGTAATGTATAGAAATTCTAAAATCTAATAAAGTGTTAAAGAGTAGTTTTGATCGCATTCGAAAAGCGTTCTCACCAATGTTCTGCCAATGTATTAGATATTTTATTTCAATTGATTTATAGGTGTTTGGTCTACTGCCCAATCGGTCTATTCCCATATGGTCTACAGTCAACCCGTCTAAGAATCAGCATGCTCCTATAATGATTTCATCTAATTATCATTAGGTCTAATGATCAGATAGGCTGATATTCATTGGGTCTAATTTCTATTTGGTCTCATCTCCAATAAGTCGACTACCCAATACGTCCATCACTCATTTGGTCTAATTTCCAGTCGGTCTAATTACCAGTTTATCTAATGCCCATTACGTCTACCATTCATAAGGTCTAATAACTATTACATTTTTGTCATTCTTTATAATCAAATGATTATCAGACCATGTGGATAGTAGACGAAAATACGAATTTGACAAATTGGGAATTATACAGCATCCCTCTTTCCATAAGAGAAATTACCTGTTTTGCCACCTTCAAAAGATCCCTCAAAACTCACCTTTTCCCTCAATGATCTATGATATACTTCCTGTACTGTACTTTCTTGTCCTCTTTACATATATTTGTATTTGTAAGCGCTATGGTACTTATTGTTTTTAGCGCTCCTAAATATTCGATATTATTATTATTATTATTATTATAGGCCTATATTGTTTTGGGTCTGGGGTACAATTAATCTTGTAATGGGTGTGGTGTTGTAGATAACAATTCGTGTGGTGTAAAACACTGACGCAGAGCAACTAATTATTGCAGGAGCAAGACTAGTGTTGAACAACAATTAAAAAATAAACCTTTATTTCAGCATGTATACGGTGTTATTCTAGTGAAACTGTTTTCTTGGTAATCATGACTGTAGCACGCTGGGATTTTATTTCTACAAAAGATAACAATTCAATTCAATCAAATACATTAGATTATGTTTAGAAATCTGATTCAATAAAATGCACATTATACAGCTCCTTGTCTTTTAATTGTTGAACTTATTCCTATGTTTTCTTTCTTATTAAACAATTGAACTCTCAAAGTATATTATGTTGCCTTTTTCAAGGTCTAATACTAACCGAAAAATTCTTACTTTTCATCGGATTGAAAAACTAATTACTGTCTGTGCAACATGTTAAAGGTAAAGACCAGTTCTGGTCATGCGATTGCATTGTGAAAGAAATTAACGTTGTGGAATCGATCAGAAAAGGTTGATCATCTAGCATATATCTATTGGTGTGTACTGAAAGGTTCTGGAATCATCAAAATGATAAGAAATTTGGCCCAGCCTTTGTAAAGTTACAAGCACTGTACACAAAAAAGACGTATATGGGACTACGCGACACGTGCGCGATATCTATCCAGTCTAGATAGATATAATAATTTACGAAATATATCAATTAGTAGGCGGTTTCCCGGCAAATTTGGTATCACCACGTATTAGTCAAAACATATTCTTTTACATAATTGGTAATAAGAGCTTCCATTTCATTTTTTGAGAGGGGGCGTTTCCAAAACTGGACTTTACCTCTAAATTTAAATATAATAATTATGCAACGACGTTTACTTGAACGAAAAAGCAAAGCATAACAAAAACAAACAAACCATTCTTTTATTACGAGAATACCAAATACTTTGTTTATTCGTTTATACATGTTTTAATTATTGTTTATTGCTGTTTCGAATTTATGTTCAAGATTTTGTTATAAATAATATTATTTTGTATTTATTTGTTAAATTGTAATTTACCCCCATTATGTTTAACAGGGCCTCATGGAAAACCACCAATAAGGATAATAATGAGTCAACCTGTCTAAATATCAGAAATAAATAAATAAATGAATGAATATATTTATTGATTTACTTGTTTTGTTGGTTTATTTTGCTTTGAAGGTAAGAAAACAACAAACAACCAGGCCTGGTCCTATAAACGCGCATAATATCCTTTGAGGGAGGAGCTCTCATACTTTCAAGTAGTTGTAGTAACAAGAGTGGGAATAAATTAGCTTTAACAATCGTGTGCATTGTGATGTTATTATTTTCCATTGTGATGTTGCCCCATTGAATTAGATGTCACTCGCTTGCATTGTGATGTCAAACCTCAATTTTGGGACCTGGGAGCAGTGACATCACTCCTTTGTATTGTGACACCATGCTTTTGTATTGTGACATCACTCCTTTGCATTTTGATGTCGTGCCTTATGGATATACATGCATAAAATGTGTTCTTTTCGTGAATATATTTTGATCCTCATCCTATGCAAATGATTTGTAACTTTCAAAGCTGGGAATAAAGTTTATCTTTAGTTTCTTTAGAATATTTCATATACCTATCCACTTTTTTGTTTAGGATATTCTAGAATTGAAATTTTCATTCAATTGTGGGCCTTTTCAATCTCAACTTATCTGATTAAATTAAGCAGTGTCACTTAAATTTAATTCAACACCTCTAAACAGGAATTGATACTGGGAAGTATTATGAATTCGTAACATCAAAAGGACGACATCATAATGAAATAGTCTAAAAAAAACAAGTTTCATGAAAAGAAACTAAATAAATTTTTATTTGCATTATAATAATGTTATGATAATATTCTCTCTTTTTTTAAAGTCATGATTCTTGTATCCTATGGGATATTTGTTGTTGGTTCTTTGATGATTTTTTTTTCTCCAGCTGTTTATGTACTTGTTCATTTATAACACCCCTACTTATACATTGATAGATTGGGCAGTCCGTCTTCCTATTGAGTTAAATGGCCCTTGAATCTCAATTTCTTTCTTGTGGTGTTGAACAAATATAATGTAGAAACATAAATTTAAAAAGAAAGAAAACGAAACGTTTATTCAAGGATAACTCTAAACCCAGAATGAATCACTTTCAACACAAACATACATTTTAAGGAAAACTTGAGGAGGAAAATATGATTGTTGTTTAGTAAAGGGGAAGTCCACCTTGATGAAAAAAGAAAAATGAGACGAGCATGTCTGTGTAAGTTGTGAGTGAATTCCGATTGAAAATAAGAAAGCTATAGGCTACAATGCTCTGTACATGAAATTAAAGTAGCTTAAATTTACTTTGTTTCAGATGACAGAAAACATTTTTTTCCCGACAGGGGTTGGACAAAATCATATTGGCAATTGTTAATATTCGGGTGCATGTATGATTGAACAAAATTTGTGAGGGAACATCTAATCGTTTTTTTTTTGGGGGGGAGGGGGTGGGGAGGCCAGAGCAAATGAGAGAAGTGCTCGCATTGTGCGTCACAGAGTTGCCAATTTGTGTTTGACTGATCTCAACTTTAAAAAGTTAACTTTCTTATTTTGAATCGGAATTTGTTCATAAATATCACCTATCTGTTCCTCTCATTTACTGCTTCTATTAAAAGCAACTGAATATCCGGTTGGACGTCCCCTCTAATAGAAAAAAATACAAGATCGGCGAAGTTCCCTCGGGTTTTTTTTTAAATTGCGCAATACAGTTCTGGCTTAGAATAACGAGTAGAGAAATTGCGAAAAAGGATATATGAAGTTCAAGGAAGTCGACATAGGAAGTCAGCGGCACTCGTTGGTAAATATATGGTGGGTGTATGAGGCATGTGCCCTACTAAATGACGAGAGGAGGAGAAACAAGGAGAGTGGAAAAGGTAAAAAAACAATTTGAAGTAACATGATAGGCCTATCACCCCTTTTCCCCCACCCCCTTCATTTGGATGCTTTGGACATCTATCTAGTGAGACAGGCAACCTCCCTGGCATCAGTGAATAAAGTTGTAATATAATAGCACATTAAACTTCGAGCTGATGAGTGGGGCAAGACTACATCTACTTTCACTGTCTAACTTATCGTGGTTATCTGAGCTGCTATCTGAATATTGAACCATAGATTTTTGATATAGTATAGCTTCCACCTCTAGAATGGTACCCTTAATAGCTGGAGGAGTTACGGCAGCGGCAGTCGCAGCTGTCGGTACAACGATAGGCCTCATCAGGCGTTTCATGGACCGGTATATCATCGTAGCAAACGGTACATCGCAACCCATCTGTGTTACCGTGGAGCACGACAAAGGAAAGAATCAATCACTCATCGAAGCAGAAGAATCCATGAAATTTACCGTATCGAACAACAGACCTATAACAATAAGAGCGAAAAAGTACACAAAAAGTGCCTACGACGCAGAGGTTTGCAATTACGACTATCGTAACTACATTGTGAGGAAGGCAACTATTGAAGATCTAATCCTTGTTCGAGCAAAGAAATGGAACGTGTGGGAGGCTGAGCCTTGCAAGCAAAACGTGAGTCATTTTGTTTTATGCATGTTTACACAAGACGGTAAACTAAAAGAAGGAAAAATTGCTTAGCAGGGCTGTATCTAAAGGAAACCCATCCATATTCGATCGTCAGACAATTTTTTTCGGGGAAAGTCTGCTATCACTATTATAAGAAACATTTCAAAATTAGAATAAAGAAATTACTAATGAATAATTAATTGAATAAATTAAATTGTGAAATAAAAGGGGGTCGATTTTTTTTTTTGAATTATCCATATACATATATGTAAAGACCTATATAATCTAGTGATTGTATTTGTTTAACAAGACAAGAGCTAAATTCTTAATATATTCATCTTCATTTGTTATTTTTCTTGTCATTGACTTTCAACAGAAACAGAAGGATTTTGTAAAAGGGAATTCTCCACATCTACAGGACATGTTTTAAAGTTATCAACTTCAGACAGTTCATTTAAAGGAGGTTACATTTTCCAACAAGTGACAATCGGCTCCTATATAGACGCCCAGCCTCTCAATCTCTGTCTGCGAATTTCAGTTTTGATATAATTATGTAGGCCTTCTATGGACACATCATCTTCCTTAACCTTTTAATAATATTAATAATAATATTCAGTGTTTATATAGCGGTCAATACATCGATCCAACGATGTGCCTAAGCGCTTTACAGATATACTATTACCCCGGTCATCGGGTTTAGGCTTACCCGCACGTAGTGTATGCATATACACCACTCCCCGGGGAGCATTCCAGCCAGGCACCACTTTACAAGCGCACTTTTGCTCATCCAACCACATGAAATTTCGCATATCCAATGGGTATCCATCTATCACCTGGGTGGATAGTAGCATGTGCAGGTTAATATCTTGCCAAAGAATATCAGTGCCGTGTCGGGATTCGAACCCTCGACCTTCGCATCTCCAGTCAAGCGCCTTAAACCACTCGACCACGACACTCCCACAACGAATGCTTTAGTTGACTAATGGGACAAACAGTGGAGTTCAACAGTTAAATTTCGTCACAAGACCATTGTGCGAGGCACATTAATACAGACCTTCATCACTAAAGGCCATTCTGACATTTGCCCCCATTTTGGTTTGCGTACAGTTTGCGCATAAACACTCTTAAGTGCCAATGCGAATCTTCAAACATTTTTATGTTTTGAAGTTATGACACCGGACAATTTGAAGTCGTTTTCGCTGTGGCAATCATTATCAGGCACCTTGGTTGAAAAACACCAAGTTGACTCTGGACAAGATGGGGATGTTTATTTCATGGGAAATTTGTGAAAATACTAGTTTTGATTGGGTCAAACAAACTGTTGAACATCGATTGAAAGTAGCATGCCTTGTATTGGTCTGCTAACTTCTGTTAACTATCGAATTTTCAAACATCTTTATGTTTAAAAGACATTGGACAATTTGAAGTCGTTTTCGCTGTGGCAATCATTACCTGCCGATTGTATCTGGTAGTTTGTTTTCAAATACTCCCAAGAAAATAAGATGATATACGCTTTGCAATTTGCAATCACTTGGGGATGCGTTTTTTTGTACTTTGTATGCCCTGCCTTTCATTCAGACAGGAAATTTGTTCCTCGATAAATATTTTATTGAAAGACCGAATACACTAAAAATTAATCACTTCTTTAACTTGAAAATTGTACAAACACGCTTAAACTTAGGATAACATTCTGTCAACAGAATAGTGCTTGTTTTCATTAATATAAGTATGTGCACGTAACATGTTTATGAGTTCAATATCATCGCCATGTTTCTTTTGTTTCTGTCTCGTATCAAATTATTAAATTGATATCAAGAATATTTTCAGTAATTCATTGATGCAAATAACAATTTACTGATGCCAGTTACTTTCCTTTTCAAATGTTTCCATTTATTTTGTCATTAATTATCATTGTTATTTTTTATTATCGTTTTTTTAATTATAATTGTTATCATAAATTATTTTGCTCACTATTTTCGATAATGATATTGTATTGATAAACATTAATTCAATTTGAATTGTATATTGTACAGTGTTAAATTGACAAATTCAAACTAATTGTTCCTTTTTTCAATACCCGAATGTGGATGACCTGAGAACAAATTGTCATTGTCATTGCAGGTCATGCGAACAGTTTACGAATGTGGAAGCTATGCGCTCCCACAGAGCTTTGGAATTTATTACCCTAGCTTTAGCTCCGGCCCCCGTTATAAGCGCACAGTGCACTTTAAGGATATTCCCAACCGGGTGGAGTGTGGCAAATGTAGATTAACGTCTTGTCAAAGGACGTTAGAGATTGGGCAGAGATTCAAACCCCGTACCATGTTGTTTACAGTCCGATGACTCGTCCACTGGACCACAAAAACTGTAATGATTTTTTGGCGTGAGACAATTAACAAAACAAAACTAATAAACAGATGAAATAATTCTCTATCTAAAAGTAATCAAAAGGATGACTGCAGACATAGAATAACTCACTTTAAACACGAACAGACAGTTTAAGGAAAATTAAAGAAGGTAGAAATGATTTTTGTTAAGAGTTAGTCCACCCTAATATTAAGTTGGTTTTGACAGGAAAATAAAAAAAATAAAACACGCAGGTCAGGGTTAGTTTGAGCGAATTCCGAATAAAAACGGAAAATCTATGATCTGTACATAAAATGTCTTTAATTTTCTTCGTTTCGGATGACGGAATAAATGTTTGTCTTTACACTTCAGGGGTTTTTAAGAAACATATTTGCAATTATTATATTTAGGGTGCAATAATGTTTGAAAATATTTGTGATAGAAAATCGGAATTTCTGATTTTGTTTTAATACAGAGGCCATAGCAAATGGAAGGGGGAGCTCGCAATTCGTCACAGATTTGTCAATTTGTGTTTGACTGATTGCAACTTTAAGAAGTCAATATTGATATTTTCAAACTAAATTTTATTATAAATGTCACAGACCTGTTCTTCTCATTTTTCTGCCAACTTAACCAACTTATTATTAGGGAAGACTTCCCTTTTATAAAAACACAAAATAACAAAATCGAAATTCCCTCGAGCATAAAGTATTGCGAAATACAGTTCTGGCAGAGATAACGAGTAGAGAAATTACAAAAGAGGATACGATGATTAGGTTTGTCGACTTTACAGGAAGTTGGCGGCGATTGTTGGTACATATATAGCGGGGTGCATAGGGCACGTACGTTTAATAGGGCACGTACGTGCCCTATTAAATGGCGAGAAGAGGAAAAACGATAGGGGAAAGGAAAAAAAGTGTTAGCAAAAGAAATCATCCTACCCCCCCCCCCCCCCTTCCCGTTCATTTGGATGTTTTAGTCATTAATCTCGTGACAGGTGACCTCCATGCAAGGGCGTAGCCAGGATTTTTGAAGGTGAGTTGTTTTTGGCCCAATTCAATATTTAGCGGCAAATCATGATCAGTTAGTTGGTGAACAAGCGCCGGTTCGGGGAGGGAGGGGGGGGGGGGGGTGATAAAGTAGCAATATTGTTATTTATTTTTCCTAATTCGTGAGCAAATATTAACGGTGAATCAGCGTGCCGGTGAATAAGAGGGGAGGGGGGGGGCGGTTAGGAACACCAATTGTTTTAATTTTGTTTTGCTCAACGGGGGGGGGGGGGGGGAGTGGCCACTCCTTTTTCCTCCTCAACACCCCCCCCCCCCCCACACCACCATCTCCTCAGTCAACGGTTATACCATCGATACGCCAGTGTATAAAGGTGTGGTACGCTAACGCGTTAAACTTCGAGCTGATGAGACTACTCACAAATAATTAACACATTGTCTACCTTCACCGTCCTAATGTTCGAGGTTATCTGAGCTGATATCTCAACATTTATTTATTTATTTATTTATTTCTAATCTTTTGACAGGGTAGCCCATTCACCAACAAGTAGTTGTCTTCCATGGGGCCCTGAATAAACATATTGACATCGTTTATAACATTTATACAGAACAGTATATTGAACCATAGATTATATCGATATAATATATCGTGCGTTATTCAGCTCAAAGAATCTTCCACCTCCAGAATGGCACTCTTAACAGCTGGAGGAGTTACGGCAGCGGCAGTCGCAGCTGTCGGTTCAACGGTAGGCCTCATCAGGCGTTTCATGGACCGGTATATCATCATTGCAAACGGCTCGCCGCAAGCCATCTTTGTTACCGTGGAGCATGTGAAAGGCAAAAGTGAGTCCCTCATTGAAATAGGACAATCCATGATATTTACAGTTTCTAACAACAGGCCTATAACAATAAGAGTGAAAAAGTGCACGAAAAGTACCTACGACGCAGAGGTTTGTGATTACGACTATCGCAATTTCATCGCGAGGGAGGCAACAACTAGAGATCTGATCCTTGTTCGAGCAAGAAAATGGAAAGTGCAAGAATAACATGAGTCATTAAACAAAATATATATATTTACGCAAGACATTAACAGAAAAAGAGGAAATAAATCTTTTAGCAGACCTGTCCTTAAATAAAGCCTATCTATACCTTGCTTATAAGAATTAATTCCAAATTAGAACAAAGAAATTAATAAACAATAATTGAATCAATTACGTTGCGACAAAAAGGTTTCGACATTTCTTTAAATTATTAAAGTTTATATTTTTTGAATTTTTTTTATTTGAATGTTTATCTTTGACCAATCGAAGCCAATAAATATGTGTAAATCCCTATGAACATCAAATCTAGTGATTTTATTTGTGTAAGGCCAGACGGCACTACTTGTAGCTTCTTGCGCCCTCTATAACGTGTGAGTCAAAAAAAGGTTCCATCTAGAAAATTGCTAATTATTTTTAAAATCATCTAGGAATAGTAAATTATTATACATCTTATAAAAGAGTGTTTTATCCCGTATCATTTGGTACCATTTTTGTGTGGTATGTGTTCACACTTGGATGAACAGGTGGCATTGTTTGCGAGAGTGCAAAAATCAACTTGCGCCAAAGTGATGCCTTCAGTATGTATTATTGTTGGGATTAGCGGAGTGAGAGAATGAATTGAATGTATAAAATGAAATGCATTGCATATGTTTTTTGCAAAGGGCAAAGTCACACACACCCACACACACAAATATTCGTTGATATTCGATATTTGATATTTGATATTCGATATTTGATATGTGTGGCCCTATTAATTTTTGTTAGGGTGTTATTTGGATCTGCAAAGACCGAATTAATACCCAAATCCCAATTGTTTTATTCAAACATCACATAGGCAACTTTGGCGTAAGTCGATTTTTGCACTCTCGCAAACAATATCTCCTGTTCATCCAAGCGTGAACATATATCATAAAAAAATGGTACCAAATGATTTGGGATAAAACACTCTTTCATAAGACATGTTTATCGATGATATTTTTAAATAATTAGCAATTTTCTAGGTGTAAACTTTTTTGACTCACACTGTATGTCTTATGAAAGAGTGTTTTATGTTGCAAAACAGAATATTAATCATAAATAAGATCTTTCCAGGGACAATTGTTCCTGGTTTTAATTCATCAAAGTTATAAGGGTTAGGGTTGCAATTGGGATCATAATTAGGTTCAGAGGTAGATAGGGTAGTATTTGTCAAGGTGTCGTAGTCGAGTGATTTAAGCTTGTCTTGAAATGAAAAAGGTCGTGTGTTTGATCCCCGACACGGCTCTAATGTCCTTTGGCAAGGCATTAATCTACATTTGCCACTTCATACCCAGGAGAATAATGGTGACCTAGGATGACGAAAACTTTTGTGTTAGTTATTTCAATATGCCTTCAGGATGACCATTTGGTAGGTATACTCCCCATGGAGTAGAGATGGTGCACATCGTGCATGAATGAATCCGATGACTGGAGTAATAATATATGTATCTATAAATACAGATTGAATATCAATCAATAGTCTCAATTCAAGCATTTAAACACTTCCTTCAAAGTAACCCCATCAGATGATTTGTTTTATTATGTTTTGATTGTTTTATACGCAACAATTTTATATTTGGTTTTCTCTCTCGCCTCTCTATTCCTTGTTTCTTTCTTTCCCCTGTCCTGCACATTTCTGTGTTTCTTAATGTATATATAATAATTTGTTTTTGTTTTGTTTGCTTGTTTATCATTGTAATCATATTTCAAATGTATTTTATCAACAATTTGTATTTTTATCTTGTGGATGGACCCCTTTGAAGACCAGCTTTTAGCTGAAAAGGGTGATCCTTCCCATATGTGGAAAATAAATAAAATTATTATTATCACAAGTTTCTTATTAAACAGTATATTATGACCAAATTAAATCAAATACATCAGACTATGTTTATAAATCGGATTAAATAAATGCACATCATATAGTTTTACGTTTTTGTTGTTGTCAAAGTTATTGCTCTGTTTTTTTAAAAATTCATTTATATTTACTTGATTTACAAGATTTGATGTTGTCGGGTAAATTATTCCAAATATCCGGACCACAATGTCTGATGGATTTGTGCGTTATTAATAATTTGGGGTTAGTAAGATGGAAATTTCTAGATTTGCGAGTGGTGTAGGAATGAACAGAAGAAATGTGATGTCACTATTGTGCATTGTGATGTCACACCTCATTATTGGTACCTGGGAACAGTGACATCATTCCTTTGCCGTTTTGTGACATCATGCTCTTGTATTGTGACATCTCTCGTTTGCATGTTGATGTCATTGTGTTCCTTGACTTATGTTGTATGTATAAATTATGTTCTTTTCTTGAGGATATTTTAACCCTCAACCTATGCAAATGATTTGTTACTTTAAATGATGGAAATATAGTTAGTTTTTTTTC